CTATTCTTGGGCAGACACCCATTTTTAACCAATAGGCCCCTAAGTTCTCTTTCAGTTCCTGCCAGTTCTGCACAACTATAGCAAGCTAATACTAATGATAGCTCAACAGGAAGTGGTATGTGCGTGCATAAGATTGGGCTGTCTTCCTGGTGGCTAGGTATTTATATTTGCAAAACACAAAGGGGGCGGGGTCTAGCTGCACAAGCTGGCCTTGAACTTGCTACACATGTTTGAGGCTGGATTCAAACTCTTTAAAGCTCCCAAGCCTGCCTCCCATGAGAGGATTACAAAGAACAACCCCCAATGCTAGGGTAGATTTTTCTTTCTGAAAGCATTCTCTACAGTTGTAAATTGTGCTCCTTTGAAGGTAATAAACTAATGAGTCATTTCTAATCTTTTCAAAGCTGTATAACAATTTAACTTGCTCAAAAGCTCAAAGAGAGGTAGAAATAGAGTTCATATTAGACCCATCCCTCAAAGGAAGAAAGAACTGTTTCAGGAAGTGGAGCTGGGGCCTAAGTGGTAAGAGTGCCAGCCTTGAGGGAAAAAGCTAAGGGATAGTGCTCAGGCCCTGAATTCAAGCCCCAGGAACAGCGCGCACACACACAGGCACACAGAGGCGCGCGCGCGCGCACACACACACACACACACACACACACACACACACAAAATTGTTTCATATCATAGAATTTAGGACAGTCACAGAGCCAAGGATTTTGAAGCCAAAGTGGCTTCAAAGGATGAGGCTCCTTTTGGTAAGTCAAAAAGGTTTTCTTTTAGGTCTGGAAGAATGATTACTTTCTCCTTGTTTGCCCTTAGGCAAATTCACTGCAACAACAACAACAAAAGATCAGAATCAATATCAGATGTGCCATGAATTTCTAGAACATCCTGACTCTTGTTGAGGCCCAAACTTGGTGTAAACCTTGAATTCACTCATGGAGACAGATGTCTTCAACGTGCCTGAGGAGTATTCCAAGTAAACAGGTCGCTTAGAGGAGTAAAAAGATTCAGCTGGGCTCAGGCCTCCCTGAACCCTAAAACACAGATCCTTGAATTTATCCTATATTTTCAATTGATTTATTCATTAGATATCTATGGGAAAATCTCCAACTTACAATACTATTCTGGGTAAAACTGATTTTTTTTTTTTTTTGGCCAGTTCTGGGGTTTGAACTCAGAGCCTGGGCACTGTCCCTGAGCTTCTTTTTGCTCAAGGCTAGCGTTCTACCACTAGAGCCACAGTGCCTCTTCCAGTCTTTTCTGTTTATGTGGTACTGAGGAATTGAACCCAGGGCTTCATACATGCTAAGCAAGCACTCTACCTTTAAGCCACCTTCCCAGCCCATGACTCATTGGGTTATTATTTTTTTTTTTTTTGTCGGCCGTGGGGCTTGAACTCTGGGCCTGGGCGCTGTCCCTCAGCTCTTCAGCTCAAGGCGAGTGCTCTACCACTTGAGATACAGCACCACTTCCGGTTTTCTGGTGGTTTATTGGAGATAGGAGTCTCACGGTCTCTCCTGCCCGGGCTGGCTTTGAACCGCGATCCTCAGATCTCAGCCTCTTGAGTAGCTAGGATTACAGGCATGAGCCACCAGAGCCTGGCAATGGGTTATTTTATTTTTTTAAGCTCACATCTGTGATCCTAGAACTAGGAATCAGGACTAAGGTTGAAACTACAGTATTCTAAATTCAAGGATGGCCAGGGCTACACAGCAAGATGCTACCTAAAAGTCATATTATAATACATGTAGGACTTTTAGTGTTTTTGTGTGTGTATGCCATTACTGAGGTTTGAACTCGCGATCAGGATCCTCCCTTAGCTCTTTCCACTGAAGCTCCACCTCTGAGGCACACATCCACTTCTGGTTTTTTGGTAGTTAATTGGAGATAAAAGATACACTAGACTTTTCTGCCTAGATTGGCTTTGAACTGCAATCCTCAGACGTCAGCCTCCTGAGTAGCTAGGATTACAGGTGTGGGCTAGAATTATACTTTTACTTGTCTCTAGGAATAAGGGAGTGGGGATCTTGGCTTAAGCCTCTTGGACTGAGCTGAGTGTCAGTGGCTCACACCTGTAATCCTAGCTACTCAGAGGGCTGAGATCTGAGGATCCCAGTTCAAAGCCAGACTGGGCAGGAAAGTCCATCTCCAATAAACCACCAGCAAATAGTAATTGATGCTATGGCTCCAGTGGTAGAGCGCTCGCCTTGAGCTGAAGAGCTGAGGGACAGTGCCCAGGCCCACAGTTCAAACCCCGTAACCAAAAATATAAAAAAAAAAAGCAAAAAACCTCTTGGATTTAACACAGTGATTGTGTGTTGCACAATGTCATCCTTGGTCTTTCAAGACTGATCCTAAGTAGGTTAAATACCTTAGATGCAGATCCAAGATTATTTTGGACATAACAGTACGTATGCTGACCTGACCAATGAATTTGTAAAATGTTAGTCAAATTCACTGGCACCTTGTCAGATTTTCTTCATACTTGGCTTTGAGATTCACTGTTGCATGCACAAATGAGCCAAACTAACTTTGCAAAGAAACAGATTGCTAGGTAAAAGTAGTCAGTAGTCTAACTCCAGTTTGTAAATCAGGATAACAAACAAAATACTTGAGAAAGGGCAGCAACAAGCATGAAGTAAAAAACAAAACACCATGAGAGACAGAAGGGGGGGGGGGGGGGAAGACATTGTTCCTAGCTTCTTACAAAAGGACAGCACTTCTTTTTCTGGCAGGCCCAAAGGTGGTAATTTGTCTGACTTCATTCCCTCCCAAGTTGATCAAATGACCATTCCAGGACAAGAACAACAAACCAAAGGAGCCTGGCTCCATCCAGTAATTCTAACTACTCAGTTGGCTGAGATCTGAGGATCACAATTCAAAGCCAATCAAGGCAGGAAAGCCCTTTAGACTTATCTCCAATTAAACAACAATAAACCTGAAGTGGAGCTATGAGGAGCTATGACTCAAGTGATAGAAAGCTAGCCTTGAGCAAAAACAATAAATAAAACTAAGAACAGTGTCCAAGCCTAGTTCAAGCCCCAATACCTGTGCCCAGACCCAGACCCATACCCACACGCACAAGAGAACAACTATCTCCCTTACCCCAGATTCTTCCACTCCATCTACACTCTAACCTTGCAAGAGATCACGACTCCAAGTTTTGGATAAGCCTCAGGGCTGGGCCTAAGCCATGAGACCTGTCAGTCCTCACCACCCACATCCACACAAATCTGCCTGAAACACCAGTTCCTATTTTTTTTTTCCCCCAACACCCACATGCTTCTGAGAGGAACCAGATCAGGACCCAGGGTGGCATGGAAACAAGAGGAAAGAAAAAGGAGGGGGGGGGAGGAGGAGAGGTGCTGCTGAAGATGGGCAGATGAACCTGACTAGGGGATTGGGTATCAAGCCTGGCCTTGAGGTTACCCTCCTGAGACTTGGCCTTCCTGGGAGAAAGCTCAAGCAGAAAGAGGCTTTTCGCCCATGGACAGGCCCGAGGGGGTGTCCATCTGTACCCACGACCATTCTCTCCCCGGCCAAAGCATCCACTAAGAAGCCCCACTTTCAACGAGGTATATACCAGGTGGCCATCTGTCATCCGAGGTCACTCTCCGTGAACACCAGGGGTCCAGCCCAGCCTCAGGGGCCGTCCACCCAGACCTGCCGAGCTCTGAGTGCCTGCCAGCTCGATCGATCAATCGGCCAGGCCATCGGGACCTGTTCCCCGGCAGCCGGGGCCCGTCCCCCCGTCTCCCTCCCCGCCCGCGCGGATGCCGCGCGCTGCTTACCCGGAGCTCGACCTCGGTGCGGTGCAGTCCCAGGCGCCGCAACCCCACGGCCAGGTCGTTGACACACAAGCCGCCGTCGCGGTTGACGTCGAGCGTCTGGAAGAGGCTCCACAGGCGCAGCCGGTGATCCGGGCCCCCGCAGACGGCGCCGCCGCACGGGTCCCCTATGGACGCCGGCGACGAGGCGGGCGACGAGGCGGCGGCGGCGGTGGCGTCCGGCGGCGGGGAGGCCACGCAGCGGCACAACACACTGCTCACCATCGGGCGCGAGACAGGGGCGCCGGGCGCGGGACGGGGGCGGGGGCCGGCGGGGACTGCGTGGAAACACGCCGGGTTCTCTACGACTGCTAGCGCGGGCTCCGAGAAGCCGGCAAGCTGGCGGGAGGGGCCACTTCCGGGAACTCCGCCCCCCCGCGCGCCGCCTCACTGGCCACTCCTCCAGGCCGGCAGCCGACCAGTCACGAGTCAGAACGAAGCCCTCTCTGGGGGGCGGGGCCTGTCCAAGGCCTACCCTGTTCAATGGGGAGGGCGGGGCCATCTCCGCTCAAGCAGGGGGCTGATTCAAACCAAGGAAGGTGGCGATTGGCTGAACCAGGCGGGAGGCGGGGATTCACACAGCTACGGGCCGAAATCCTATGTAATTGGCAGGCTGGAGGCTCTGTATCCAATTGCCACTAAAAAGTGCTGTTTAGACCGCGAACTTATAAGGACGTGTACGAAGAGGTAGTAGCCTCCTGTAGGAAACAGAGTTGGCATAGAGCAATTGTGAACTGGACTTACCAGAGTTTGCGTCCTTATGAAATTAAAAATTAATTGGACAACAGCTCAAGGCCGAAAGCACTAAATATCCTCAAAGGCCAGTTTCTAATAGTCTTACCTCCCTAACCTACCAATAAAATAGCTGAATTTAACACCGTGATAGTCTTAACACCAACAATAGAACGACAGAATAACTTTCCAATGGAAGTGAATAAAGGCCAAGTGGGCGGGGCGCCCTGGAGTGACAGACACAGCTTTAGACCAATGATCAGATTATTTCGAGCAGGTAGGCGTGCCCTTTGGCTGAATGACAAGTTGGAAGAGCCAATGATCAACTTGATGTTTGAGCCGCAATCAACCAGGAAGGCGGGCTTCCTTGGAGAAGCGTGGAGGGGCGGGAAGAAGGGAAGTGGGCGGATCTTCGCACACCCCGGCGGAAGAGGCAGATTCAGGAAGCCATTACGCAGCTGGCTGGTAGCGGCCGGGCGGGTCCGGTCTGGGCCCTACGCACTTTGCGTAGCGAGAGGGGTTACCTAAGGCCTGGAGCTTGGCCTTGAGCAAGCCTGGCCTGTCCCCTGGAAGGGGGTGGGCTAGTAAGGGGTGAGGCAGAGGAAGCAGGAGAGGGAAATTGGGGCTGTTGGGGACACTATAATTTTCTTTATATATAAAGAGGGGAGGGGAGAGGAAAGGCCATGGCAGTCCCAGCCAAGAAAAGAAAGATGAACTTCTCAGAGCGAGAGGTGGAAATCATCGTCGAGGAGCTGGAGCTGAAGAAGCACCTGCTGGTGAACCACTTCAACGCTGGGGTCCCTCTGGCCGCCAAGAGCGCGGCCTGGCATAGCATCCTGAGAAGGGTCAATGCTGTAGCCACCTGCCGCAGGGAGCTGCCTGAAGTCAAGAAGAAGTGGTCTGATCTCAAGACCGAAGTCCGTCGTAAGGTTGCCCAAGTCCGGGCTGCCGTAGAGGGTGGCGAGGCCCCAGGACCCACTGAGGAGGATGGAGCTGGTGGGCCTGGGACAGGCGGTGGCAATGGCGGCAATGGCCCAGCTGTAGCCCCGGTATTGCTGACCCCCATGCAACAACGCATCTGTAACCTGCTGGGTGAGGCCACCATCATCAGCCTTCCCAGTACCACAGAGATCCATCCGGTGGCCCTTGGACCCACAGCCACTGCAACAGCAGCCACGGTCACCCTGACACAGAGTGAGTGACCTCTCCTGCCCAGTTCCCTGTGATAAATGGGAAGGGCCAGCAAACGCTGGGGCGGCCTGGGGAAAGGTTGACTGCCAAGGGTCAAAGGCCAGATCAAATTGATCTGCCGTCTAGCCAGCCTATAGCTCTCATATCATTTATGACCATGACTTAACCTCCACTGGCTGCACTATGTGGTCCTTGAAGACAGAGATTGTTATCTGCTCAGAACTTATCATAGGGCCTGACATACAGAAGGTAATCAGGATATATACTTGTTGGATGAATAGATGGGAATAATACTGCCCAAATGAGACATCCATTCTGGACAAAGACATTCTGTGTTCTCAGGATGGCAAATATACATCAGGTTCTGTTCAGGAACTTCATGGTTCCTGAGTCAGTCATCAGACATTGACACTCTAAAAACCCTGTGCCCAGCACAGGGATTACCAAAGTGTTTAGAATATAGATCTATGTAGGTCTGGGGGCTGAGGATGTTGGTCAGTGGTAAAACAAAAAAACAAACAAAAAAAAAAAAACCACTTTGTTTAGTGTGAGAGGCCCTAGGTTAAATTTCCAACACTTTAAAAAAAAAAAAAAGGGCAGACTATAGGACAATTGTGTCTTAGTAAAACAGATAAGACATCTATGTGAAGAGGTTTGCTATCAGTTAGGAAAGCCCAAAGACTCATAAGAGAAGGGGGATTGAGGCAGGTGGGGGTGGCTCAGGATATAATAATGGCTGAGATCTGAGGCTCTTTTTGTTGTTGTCCTTGTTGGTCATGGGGCTTGAACTCAGGGCATGGGCGTTCTCCCTGAGCTTTTGTTAGCACTCTGCACTTTGAGCCACAGTGCCACTTCCAGTCTTCTGGTGGTTAACTAGAGCTAAGAATCTCAAGGGGCTGGGAAGGTGGCTCAGTGGTAGAGTGCTTGCCTTGCATCCATGAGACCCTGGGTTCCATTCCTCAGCACCACATAAGTGGAAAAAGCTGCAAATGGCATGCATTGCAGCTCAAGTGTGCTAGAGTGCTCACCGTGAGCTAAAGAGCTGAGGGACAGTGCCCAGACCGAGTTCAGGCCCCTCCACTGACCAAAAATAAATAAATAAATAAATCTCACAGACTGGCTGAGAATGTGGCTTAGTGGTAGAGTTCTTGCCTAGTACACATGAAGCCTTGAGTTTGAGTCCTCAGTATCACATGCACAGAAAAGGCCAGAAGCGGTGCTGTGGCTCAAATGGTAGAGTGCTAGCCTTGAGCAAAAGAAGCTCAGGAACAATGCCCAGGCTGGCAAAAAAAAAAGAATCTCATGGACTTTCCTCTCTGACCTGGTTTCAAACTGCTAGCCTCAGATCTCAGCCTCCTGAGTAGCTAGTATTACAGACATAAGCCACCAGCATCTGGCTGAGGAGCATTATCTAAGACAAACTTGGGCAGAAAAGTCCATGAAACTCTTACCTCCAATTTAATCAGCAAAAATCAGAAGTAGAAGTGTGGCTCACGTAGTAGAACAGCAGTCCTTGAGAGGAAAAGCCAAGTGGGAATGCCAGTCTCTGAGTTCAAGCCCCAGTACTGACATTAAAAAGGGGAGGTTGCCAGGTACAGGTGGCTCATGCCTGGAATCCTAGCTACTCAAGGAGGCTGAGATCTGAGGATCGTGGTTCAAATCCAGCCCAGGCAGGAAAGTCCGTAAGACTCTTATCTCCAATTAGCCACCAGAAAATGGGAAGTGGTGCTGTGGCTCAAGTGGTAGAGCCCTAGTCTTGAGCTGAAGAACTCAAGAGTTCAAGCCCCACGACTGACCAAAAAAAAAAAAAAAAATATATATATATATATATATATGTATGTATACACATGTATGTGTAAAGCAGTATACATGTGTATATATACACATATATATGCATATATATATGTGTGATGTTGTATTTCTCAAGGATGTATGGAAATGGAAAAGGGGGACAAACATTGGTTTCGATTGGATGCTACTCTGGAACAGGAAGGATGAGCCAGTCACTAATGAGATAAGGAGGCATTTATTGGGCACTTTAGCAACTACTTCCCTTGTCTCTCTCCTACTCCTTTTCTGCTTGGCCACAAGAGACACAAGTCAAGAGAACATCAAAGGAGGTAAGAAGAGTGAGGTTGCCAAGAGCTGTGTGGAGAGCTCCAAGATGCCTACTTTGAGCTGGCATATGACTCCATCTCTGAGGTACTTAATCAGTTAAAAGCAGCCCATTGAGATGGCTGTGGGTATGCTAGGCTCTGGTGTTGGGAGAATCTGAGTTTTCTTCTTGGCTCTGCAGCATGAACTATGCGATCTTAGGCAAGTCACTCCGTGTTCCTATTTTTTCAACTTTGAAAAATGAGATGGCTGCTATCTCCCTTTTGTCATTAGGAGGATTCATGAGCTAGTAATTACAAATTGTTGAGCATGGAAGCACTCTGGACTTTTTGCTGGCATTTTTATTGGCATCTCTTCTGCTTGATCTAGGACTGCCCTTTGGCTACCAGTAGATTAAGAACCTAAAGCCTTACTATAGAAGTGTTTTGGTGATACACTGGGCATCAGTGGCTCACACCTGTAATCCTAGCTACTCAGGAGGCTGAGATCTGGGGATATCGGTTCAAAGCCAGCCCAGGCAGGAAAAGTCTGTGAGACTCTTATCTCCAATAAACCACCAGAAAACTGGAAGTGGTGCTGTGGCTCAAGTGGTAGAGCGCTAGCCTTGAGCTGAAGAGCTGAGGGACAGCACCCAGGTCCAGAGGTTTAAGAACCAGGACCGACCAAAAAAAAAAAAAGAAGTGTTTTGGTGATAGAGTGCTTGCTCTGTATGTAGGAAGCCCTTTTTGTCCCTGGGACTGGGACAAAAAGATTCTAGCCCCCCCTTAGAATCTATATTTATACATAAAGAATTATAAAACCAAGGGAGGCCTGAGCTTTCCTCCCCCTAGGACAGGACTTAATGTCTTCCTCTCCACATTGCACAGCCAGTTTCATCCTTCCAGAAGGTGACCTGCCTGTACTTTGCCTTTTTCTTCTCTGCAGTCCCTACTGAGACTACCTATCACACACTGGAGGAGGGAGTGGTAGAGTACTGTACCACTGAGGCTCCAGCACCCCTGCCAGCTGAGGCCCCCATAGAGATGATAACCCAGCATGCAGATACCTCCGTGAAGCCTCAGGCACTCAAGAGTCGCATAGCCCTCAACTCTGCCAAGCTGATCCAGGAACAGCGGGTCACCAATCTGCATGTCAAGGAGATTGCCCAGCATCTAGAGCAGCAGAACGACCTGCTGCAGATGATCCGGCGCTCCCAGGAGGTACAGGCCTGTGCCCAGGAGCGCCAGGCCCAGGCCATGGAGGGCACCCAGGCGGCCCTGAGTGTCCTCATCCAGGTTCTCCGACCCATGATCAAAGATTTTCGTCGCTACTTGCAGAGCAACACACCCAACCCGACCCCTGCCTCTGATCCTGGACAGGTGCCTCAGAACGGGCAGTCGGACAGCATCATCCAGTGAGGACAGGGGTCAAGCCAGCCTTCTGCCACAATTGGGTGAAACCTCCATGGTCTTGTAAGTGGCCTCTGGGACTGGATTTGGAAGGGCCACGTGGACAGTTCCCTCCTTGGCAGACATTTGGTGGAGGAGGAGGGTCCACTGTTCTAAGAAATGAAAGAGACTAGGAAGAGGAACTTGCTGGGCTCCTAGTCTCTTATTCCACCATGGAGTGACCTTGCTAGGTCTGAAGACTGGATAGCTGGAGGGTCATGCGTGCTGGAGCTAGGACATGTGCTGTCATGAGCCAGGACTTGGGCTGTGACCCTGACTTGGTCTAGGACATTTCTCTCATTGGGAGCCATGTCATAGCCTGGGGTCTGAGCTGAGCTGCCCCAGCCCAGATGCCATCCTTTTCAATACCACCTGGCAGCAGAGCTGCCAAGAGGGCAATAACATTCTCCCAGGGGAGGCAGCACCACTGAACCTGAGAAGGAAACCCTGTCCCTTTCTCCTCACTGTGCCTCAGTCCTCAAGGGACTCTCCTTGCTGCTCTGCACCATCTCCAGCCCCAGCCCAGGCACAGCACAGCCTGGGATGGGTACATTGCCCAGGATGCCTCTGTAATACACCCAGCATTCAGCCAGCCTGGCACAGCAATGCTGTGTGTGGTGGGGATGAGTTCCCTCTCTGTTCTTCCATGGTGTTTCTGGGGAGCTCTTAGATGGTTTCATCCTCTCTCCCAGAGCTTTGACTCAGGTTAGGCTTCAAGTACTGTTAATCTTAGAGAAAGCAAACTAATGTGGAATCTTGTCCTGTCCAAACCCCGCCCCCTCCACACACACACACTGCAGGTGGTTTTTTCCCAGAAGGCTTGCTTCAAGCCAGTTGTATTTATTCTGTATTCACACCTCTCCTAAGAAGGCATCTAGGAATGTAACTTAGGGCTATTCCCTTCCTCTGCCCACGGACCCCAATTCCAAAATTCAGTACAAAAACCAGTCCTGCTCGGCATCCCACCTCAACTCCTCACGCTTTCCAGGTCATTCAGTGCTTCCTGTTCTCCAGGGATCCTCTGGTTGTCTGAGCGAATCTAAAGCCACAGTTAACCTTGCATGTAAGAGGTAGGAGAAGTGAAGCCCACCCAAGAACTGGGACTCTGAATGCTGTGCCCTGGGGAGCAGAGCCTTGGAGATACTGAAGGAGGCGCTGTTCTGTCTGCCAGCTTTCTTCCCCAGATGCTTGTAAGGATTGCACCCAGAAATGCCTGCTTTATTTTCAGACTCACCATTGGTTTCTGGGGCCCTCCCCTCTCCCCAGATTATGTCCCAAGTTTGTAGGTTTGCTGGCCATGGGACAATGATGGGTACAACTTTAGGCTCTCAGCCAAACAAGAGCTGATGCTGCCTTCCTGGGCATGCCCAGGACGTAGAATTATTTGGTGCCACGGGTGTGTTCACTGGGAAGGTGCCCCTGAGGACAGGTGGGAGATGGACGCCACACTGTCCACACTGCGCCTGCCCAAAATGCCAATTCTAGAGAGGCAGGACTGGAGAGGGGTTGAGTGGCAGAAGGGGAGATCGAGCTCTTGCCAGCATGGTCAGTTGGCAATGGCACTGGCAGCCTGATGGCTCCAGCTGGGCAGCCGCAGGGACTTCCGGAGGATTTTCGACTCAGTTTGTGTTTTTTTTTCTGGGGTTGGAAATCTGAACCAATATTATGTTCCATTTGGGTAGAGAAGGGAACCCTGGATTCCTTAAACTGACTTATTCTTTCCAGGTCTTAATTTTAAATGAAAGAAATGCCATTTTTTTTCTTTTAATATACACGTCGCTGTGTCTTTGTTATATTAAGAAGAGAGGAGGGACTACAGGCCAAATCTGGCCCATCATTTGTTTTTGTAAATAAAGTTTTAGTGGAACACAAACATACCCATTCATTTATGAATTTATGATTGTTTTTGTGCTATGAGTAGAACTGGAGGGCAGGGAATAGTGGTAGAATTCTTGCCTAGCATGCATGAAACCCTGGGTTCAATTCCTCAGTACCACATACACAGAATAAGCCAGAAGTGGTGCTGTGGCTCAAGTGGCAGAATGCTAGACTTGAGCAAAAGAAACTTAGGGACAGTGCCCGGGCCTGGAGTTCAAGCCCCAGGACTGGCAAAAAAAAAAAAAGAAGAGTAGAACTGGAGTTGTGAGATGGTGGCTCATTCCTGTAATCCTAGCTACTCAGGAAGCTGAGAACTGAGGATCACAGTTTGAAGCCAGCCCAGGAAGGAAAGTCAATGAGATGTAGAGTGCTAGTCTTGAGCAAAAGCTCAGGGATAGTGTGTAGGCCCTGACTTCAAGCCCCAGAAAGGCCACCCCCCCTCAAAAAAAAAAAGTAGAACTAGATTACTGTGAAGGACATCTGGCCAACAAAGTCAAAAGTATTTATTCTCAATGAGCATTCACACCAGTAATTGCTACACAGGAGGCTGAGATTTGAGGATTGCAGTTCAAAGCCAGCCAGGCAGGAAAGACTGATACCCTTATCTCCAGTTAACCAAAAAATCCTGAGAGTGGAAATATGACTCAAGTGGTAGAATACAACCTTGAGCATAAAAGCTCAGAGACAGCATCCAGGCTCTGAGTTCAAGCTCCAGGACAGGCACACACACACACACACACACACACACACACACACACACACACACACACACACACACACACACACACACACACACACACACACACACACACACACACACACACACACACACACACACACACACACACACACACACACACACACAGTCTTTATTCTCTGGCTATTTATTTATTTATTGCCAGTCCTAGAGCTTGAACTCAGGACCTGGGCACTGTCCCACACACACACACACACACACACACACACACAGAGTCTTTATTCTCTGGCTATTTATTTATTTATTGCCAGTCCTAGAGCTTGAACTCAGGACCTGGGCACTGTCCCTGAGTCGCTCTGTGCTCAATTCTAGCACTTTACCACTTGAGCCACACGACCACTTTGGGCTTTTTTCTGTTTATGTATACTGAGGAATCAAACCCAGGGCTTCATGCATGCTAGGCAAGCATTGTACCACTAAGCCACATTCCCAGCCCTGGCCCTTTATTTTTAAAAGTCTATGTATTCCTGGGTTAGAAAAGCATTTCAGGCTTGGGGAGAATTACTAACTCCAGGTCTTACCCCAAACCTAGATTAGACTCCTGCGGGGAGAGCTCAGACTAGGCAGAATCACTCAGAGGGATTTTGAGATTTCCTGATGGCTCGAAGCTTTGGCTCCATAGCTGGAAGATTTAAACTCCGCTGAATCCAGATCCTGCTCCAGACTGGGCTGGCTTTCAGGAGTTTCTGCTGAACAAGTAAGAATTACTACCCAGCAGAAATACTCATTTAAATAAGATATTCTTTGATTCTGAAAAGAATTCAGCTTTCCTGGGAAAAGCTGGTATTCTTGCTGGTATACACTAATAGTAAAATTGGAAGTTGTTGGACCTCTACTTTGTGCAACCCTTAAAAGCAATATGACTTCTACAACAGCCTCAGGAAGTAAGTCCTGATACTGTTCTCAATTCTTTTATTTCCAATTAACTAGCAAAAAGCTGGAATGGCCAGGTGCCAGTGGCACATGCCTATAATCCTAGCTACTAAGGAGGCTGAGATTTGAGGACTCAAGTTTGAAACCAGCCTGGGCAGAAAATCCCAGAGACTCTTATTTCCAATTAACCACCACCAACAACAATAATAACACAAAGTCAGAAGTAGTCTGGTGGGCTCCTATGTGGCCCCACATCTGTAATCCTAGTTACTTAGAAGGCTGAGATCTGAGGATTGTAATTCTAAGCCAGCTGGGAAAGTCAGTAAGACTCTTAATCTCCAATAAATTACTCAGAAAAAGCCAGAAGTGGCGCTGTGGCTCAAGTCCTATCCTTGAGCACAAAAAGGCTCAGAGAAGCGCCCAGACCCTGAATTCATGCCCCAGGACCAGCCAGGAAAAAAAAAAGGAATCAGAAGCGAAGTAGAGCTGTAGCTCAAGTGGTAGCACACCAGCCTTGAGCAAAAAACTAAGGAGAGTTCAAGGAAGGCCTTGAGTTCAAGTCCCAATACCAGCATACACACACACACACACACACACACCTATATTATACATAATAAATACATTTTATTTTATTTTATTTTATTTTTTTTTGGGTCCGGTAGTGGGGCCTGAACTCTGGGCCTGGGCGCTGTCCCTCAGCTCTTCAGCTCAAGGCTAGCGCTTTACCACTTGAGCCACAGCGCCACTTCCGGCTTTTTTCTTTTTGCTTATGTGGTGTTGAGGAATCAAACCCAGGGCCTCGAGCATGCAAGGCAAGCGCTCTACCACTGAGCCATCTTCCCAGCCCAATAAATACATTTTTAAAAAAAAGCCAGAGCTGGGTGCTGGTGGCTCACACCTGTAATCCTAGCTACTCAGGAGGCTGAGATCTGGGGATATTGGTTCAAAGCCAGCCCAGGCAGGAAAGTCTGTAAGACTCTTATCTCCAATAAACCACCAGAAAACTGGAAGTGGCACAGTGGCTCAAGTGGTAGAGCGCTAGCCTTGAGCTGGAGCTCAGGGATAGCACCAAGGCCCAGAGTTCAAGCCCCACAACCTGGGGGGGGAAAAAAAAAAGAACGAACCATCAGGTCTGTCTATGGAGATACTATTTAGTGATACAAAAGAAAAAGACAAGCCGGGCACCTGTGGCTCACGCCTGTAATCCTAGCTACTTAGGAGGCTGAGATCTGAGGATTTCAGTTCAAAGCTAGGCCATACAGGAACGTCCATGAAACTCTTATCTCCACTAAACCACCAGAAACAGGAAGTAGTGCTGAGGTTCAAGTGATAGAGCATAGCCTTGAGCTGAAGAGCTAAGTGACAGCACCCAGACCTAGAGTTCAAGCCCCTGGACTGACAAAAATAAATAAATAAATACAAAAAAAAACAAGGCCAGGCGCTGGTAGCTCACACCTGTAATCCTATCTACTCAGGAGATATGAGGATCACGGTTCAAAGCCAGCCCAGGCAGGAAAGTCCGTGAGACTCTTATTTCCAATAAACCACTAGAAAACTGGAAGTGGTGCTATGGCTCAAGTGGTAGAGCACTTGCCTTGAGCTGAAGCCGGCAGGGACAGTGCCCAAGCCCAGAGT